CCACCCGCCCACCAGCATCCCCGCCACGGCCTCGCCGCCCTGTGCAGCAGCAGCCCCCGCGGCGGCAGCAGCAGCATAGGGGTTGTTGCCGGCCTGCTCGTATGGTTTGGGCACCACCGAATACTCCATAGCATGCTGTGCTGGAGGAACGGGGGGCTGGGGCGGCGGGAGGGCCATGAGCCGTTGCGCGCCGGCTTCCTGTATTCGCGGGAAGTTGAGGACGTGGTCGGGCACCTTGCGCGTGAAGGGGTGTGGGGTGGACCTGTCTTTGCGCCTGTCGCGGAAACGCTTCTTGGGCTGGGGAGGGAGAGGGGCGCCCGGGGGAAGGGTCGCGACGGTCTCCTGATACACCTTGTGCGAGAGGGTCTCGAACCAATAACTCCTGATCTTGTTCTCCGTCCGACCTGACACCACACCCACGCAGCAATGGCACGTGCATGAGGTCCAGAGGAACACTGACTGACCGGTCCCTGTCTGCCTTTCTCGCCTACCGGGGAGCATCTTAGCGATTTTGGCCCACTGGTTGCCCAGCTTGGCGTGGGCCTCTACGATGCTGCGCTCCTCGTCGGGCGTAAAGGGGCCGCGGTTGAGGGACGGATCTAGCGTACCCAGCCAACGCTCACGGCACTGACGGCCAGAACGAGTGACTTCCGAGTTCGGAAAGTACGTCTGAGGCGGGCAGGCAGGCACATCCACACAACCAGAATGACAGAGCAACATAAGTAAGGACGAGCCGCAATCTCCTCTGTGTCGGCTGACCTTGAGGTCCTCTGCGAGTTTCTTCCATGCGATGCTGCCGGTCCTCCGCTGTTTGTTCTGGTCGTCCTTGCTCTGCTGCACGAGTTTGAAGAGCACCTGATCCTCATCTGATCACACACAACCGCACAACGAACGATGCAGTGAAATGCAGTCAATGTTGAGCCAAATTTGCGGTACGGTACCTGGCGTCCAGTTGAGCGCACATCGATGGCCCTTGCCCTTCGCGCCTTCGGCACTGTCGTTGCTGGGAGGATTAAACACCTCTAGAGCCATCGATGGAGTGAGGAAAAAACGAATTCGACAACTAACAAACGAGAAGCTGCACAATTGAAGCGAAAAACGACTACGTAACCCCGCCTCAGCCTGGCTTGACGCGGCACGTCGCCTACTCTTTCGGAGCTCGCAAAAGCTCGCAAAAATCCTTGCAGGAAGAGAGCCACATCGGCGTTGATTAGGCCGCCTGTGGTATCGCATTCGTCAGGCGGAATCGTACCTTGCGTCAGATCTGCTGTTTGCCGCGCGAGATGCATGGCTACACCGCACACAGAAACGACCTCTCGTCAGCATCCTGCTGACGGCGACCACCATCACCCGCACCCGCACGGCGAGACCCATCCTCCTCCCACCACCACAGTGCCTAGCGAGCGCGAGGAGCACCCTTCTGTTGATCTGGCGCATCCATCGAGTCGGCTTACCTCGCGGCTGGTGAGCGTGCCGGGCAGCTCCCCGTACGCATACCCGTTTGCTTCGTCGGATAGGGAGGGTCTAGAGGAGGGACAGCTGGAGCACACCAGGAGCGAGCGCACCGAGACATTCGACGACGACACCATGTCCATCAAGTCGCAGCACAAACGCATGAGATCCGGTGGGGGGGGGACAGACGAAGAGAGGGAGATGGGAGCGGAGGGGAGGGGAGGGGAAGGGTAGACAGACCACACACGATTGACGTATGCACACATGCATGCATGCACATGTTGTGGGTCGTTTCTGTGTCATGTGTTGTGGTCGTGCAGAGTTAGGTGATGTGCCCGAGTTGCACAACTGGGACGAGCGGCACTCGGCCCGGGAGCAGCGCCGCATCGAGAACTACATCAAGATGATCCAGGCTAGCGAGTCCAAGGCCGACCACCGGGGCGCCACGTCGCCCACCGGCCAGACGGAGAGCGGCTCGTCGGGCGCCGCCGTGGGTGGCAAGAAGGAGAGGGGGGTCAAGCGCAAGGACATGGACAAGGACAAGGACAAGGACAAGGATAGCAAGCCGGGCAAGAGGGGGGCAGGGGCGAAGGGGGAGGGCAAGGTGGCCGGTGGGGCCACCGAAGAGGGGGAGAAACATGTGCGGGTGAGAGGGGAGGGGAGGAGAGGAGAGGAGTGGAGAGGAGAGGAGGGAAAGGCGTGTATGTATGCATGTCTGCAAATCTCTCTCTCTCTCTCTCTCTGTGTGTGTGTGTGTGTGTGCGTGCGTGCGTGTGTGTGTATGTGGTCTGGTTTGGTCAGCGCCGTGGCCGTCCCCCCAAGGAGCGTGTAGTGGATGAGACGACACCGCTCGCTGAGGCGCTCAGTAAGCCATGCACCACACAATGAACGGCAGGGCTGATGCATGCGGACATGTATGTATGCTTTTATCTGTGTGATGTTTGCTGTTTCTCCTCTTGTGTGCCAGAGAGTGGTCGTCGTTCTGCCGTCAGCCCTCAGCAGGCCCAGGCCAAAGCCAAAGCAGCGGGAAAAGCCAAGCACAGGTAACCACACAACACAACACGCCAAAGCCGCGGACGCTCATTCGTCTCTATCCCTCCCTGTTTGTTGGTCAGTGAGCCGCGTATCGCTCCCAGTGATGCGATGCCGCCCCAGCACCACCCGCCTGCCATGGCTCCCCCGCTGCCCACCAACCCCTCAGCAGCACCAACATCTGAGGATGAGGACCGCCAGAGCTACGCCTTCTCGCCCTCCGCTGCATCGCACCATGCCCCTCTGCTGCACCCCCGCCCCATTCCCATCCCCGGCCAACACCCCGTGGTGACTCTGCCCCCCGCTGCCAATGTCGTCACCATGATTGCCGACGTGGCCCCGCCGAACACCACTGAGGACAAGGAGAAGGAGCAGGCCAAAGCCAAGGGGGAGGGCGACGTGCCGATGCAGCCGGTCGTGGTGGTGCCCTCCCAACCGTCGCCCTCCCCCCTGGCCATGCGTGTCCTCGACCCCGCCAAGGAGGTCGACCGGCGCATTCTGGCCCGGCGGGACAAGAAGGAGCGGCGCGCCAAGGAGAGGGCCGCCAAGGCGCAAGAGCTGCAACAGAAGAAACTTATGCGGGAGGCGGCCAAGGCTAAGGCGGCGGAAGAAGAGCAGAGCAAGGGACAGCAGGGGGAGGGAGAGGGAGAGGGGGAGAAGCCAGATGGGAATACGGGCAAGGAGGAGGGAGAGATATGATGGGATGGCTGGCTGGCTGGCTGGCTGGTACCTATCGTGATGCATTCATTCTTTCGTTCATGTGTGCGGCACCATCCATCCATCCATCCCCCATCTGTGTGTATTGCTATTGTCACTTTGTTTGTCTATGCATACATTGCTGGCACTGGGTGGTGGCAGTGGGTTGCTGAGTTTGAATTGAATCAGATTCTGCCGATTGATGGTCGATCGATCGCTGCCCCTGATGTATCACACTGACTGCAGCGCAGTAGCGCAGATCGACGACTGTATTTATTTGTATACATCGTAGCTGGCTGACGATATGTATACATATGCATTGTATGTGTATGTGTGTGTGTGCGTATGTGTGTGTGTGTGCGGACACATGCATCACGTCCCGTCACACGATTTATATCCATCGAATCATTGAGTACACCAGGCGTCGAGCGGGTCTGAGGAAGACAAACAGACAAGCACAAAGCAGCGAACGAACCCACGAACGACACAGACAGACATTTTCGTCCAACCATTTCACCGGCGTGCGTTCCCGAGCACAGAGAGCATTGCATATCCACCTGTTTGCTGCATCTGCCCTCTGCGTGCTGCGTGTTGCGTGTCCGTGTTGCGTGTTAGGATTTTCATGTCAGGGCCTTCATTCATTCATCTTAACTCCGTCCGCATGTTCGTAGGCTCGGCGAGGGGATCAGACGCGACAGCTTGGCGAGGGAAACAACAGCATCAGAGGTTTGCTTCGGTTTGTGGGTGCGGGTATGAAGTTTTCAACGGCTTAAAACAGCTTCAACGTTGACAGAGCCAGACAGATAGATGATGACCGGCTTCTCCCGAACCCACTTTTGTCGGCATGCGCTTCCTCTGCCCCTGTCTCAAAGTGTTTGCGTCATCAACCCACTTGATCGATCTGTCTGCCTCTCCATTCGCTCAGGCCGTCTCCTTCCTCTCATTCTTCCCTTCAGGCTGTGGCTGTTTGGGAAGGTCGAAGAAATCTTCCTCGAGTGTGTATGCGTGCGTGTCTCCTGGTCGCCGGACCCCAATTTGAGGCGCAAGGCAGCCGTTGGAACTCTTAGAGAGGCTAGCTTTCAGCATGTATTTGGCGATCAGTGGCGTGCAAAAAGCACGGTGCAATCGCTCTTTGCCACGCCATCGCTCTTTGTGAAGCACCAGCACGGTTGACTGCACGAGGCACATGACCTGTAGGCCAAGACATACATGCGCGTGAATCACCGCAGCAGCATGGAGGCGTATGGATAGCTATTGAGCTACCTGGTGGGCCTGGCTGCCTTGGGGGAAGCTGGAGTGGATGGTGATGGATGCAGGCATTAGGTCATCGGCTCGAGCGTTGGTCGGGCCGCCAAAGGTTCGCTCCCCTTTCGCCACGCACTCCTTGGTCAGCTCTTCGAGCTGCGGCCAGGCATCGAGGAGGTCGAAGAAGAAGCGTGTGTCAAGGTCCATTGCCTCCTGCAACCCCTTTCTCTCCTTCACGAGGTGGAGTGTCATGTGGTAGCGCTTGTCGCGTTTGGCCTCCTTGTCCTCGACCTTGCGGACCTCAAGGTCAATCTTGCCAGGAATGTCATTGCCAGTGACGTTGCCGGTGTCCATGTCCTCGAGTTCATCGAGCAATTCCTCAAGAAGGTGCGATCGAAGGATGTGGGTTGAAAATATTGCCGTCTGCGTATTCTGCAGCTTTCTTGTCATTTTTCTGCAGCTGTCGTATCTCTCTTTGCTTGCTTTGGGAGCGAAGCGGAATCCGAAACTCTGGTACCAGAAACCTGGAATGGCACAAGACAGATCGACAAAGAACGGGTGCCATGACTGCTAAACTGTGCCTTTACATATCCGCGTACCCACCCGCTTTTTGTAGGGTGTACAAAGCTTTGATGCTGCTGGCGTCCTGTTACAGCAGACCAAGGGAGACAGGCAGACTTGTGAGTATACAGGCTCACTCCCATCGTAACCTTGATGATCGTTTCCTTGCAGCCCCACTCAGCGCCATACGTATCAAGGAATGCAAGCAATGCAACCAAGAGCGTGTTGCCGTTGAGTTCCTTGCCTTTGTCCACCCTTAGTTACCAGAGACGAGAGAGAGAGAGAGAGAGAGCATGACTTGTGCTTATCTGTGCTTAATTCGCCTACCGGTAGACTTCACAGACGCGCGTCTCCTTTCCCCGATCCATGAGGCGCAAAAGGCTTACGCCATCTCCAGCGGGCGTCATGCCCGCTGCGCTTAACATGACACCGAACCAACGCCCGACGGGGATTCCCTGGACGGCCCTCAGTGCGACCCAATTCTCGGACTCCGATGATTTCTGCAAGAGCAGGACCACATTCAGATGATGTTTGCCCTTGAGGTTGGACTGAAGGCGGCTGCTGAACTTGTCGGACACATCGACAGAGCAACTACATCCATGCATTGCAGCCAGCGGCCAAGAAAGTCAACACAAGAAAAGCATCTGTCTGCATCAAAGCAGCTCATGCCTACTCATGCCTTTCCTCCTTGAAGTTTTTCTTGTCCACCTGATCTCGATTGGGTCCACAGGGAAGCTCACGGGCGGGGATGAACAGCTGGGCCCTTCAGTGGTCTTTTCCACTGAAGAGGATAACAACACGTGGCCTGCACCGCCCTCCAGCTGACTGAAAAGGATCAGGGCAGTGCAGAGCGACCATGCACGAGAATGGACGACCATGCCTGAAAATCCCGATTCCCATTCGTAACCCTCCAGCTGACTGAAAAAGGGGGCAGCTCGTGGGGGCTGGATGGGGGCGTCTCCCCGAAAAAAGAGCCAGGAGCATCTCCTTCTCAATCTTGGACGCTCTCACCGAGCATCCACGACTCAGCATGAGTGCTGTTGACCGTCCACCTTGATGGATGATGAATTTCTGAGCCGTTGGGCCCCGTGAAACCCACAGAAAATGGAAAAATACTGAAAAATGGCGCACGAAGATGACGGTCTGCCGCTCGACGAGCAGCATGACGAAGCGCATGACGATTTTTTGCTCGACGATTTGCTTAATGCTCCGCGGGCTTCAGCTGACGCGGCACAGGTTCGCTGCATCTGGATACAACCAAATGGATACGAGTAACATATGCGTCAGCACTCGTGTTTCGATCTTGCAGGCGTCGGCTGCGGAGAGCCATCCATCGACAAGGGCTCCACACGGTGGCAGATCCACTCAGGTACGTGCAAGATGCGGGGGAGACGGAGCATCGTCTGTTTGCTTCTGAACAAAATGTTGTGCATTCACGGCGCATGCAGGCTCCTGTGCCGCCTGTGATGCAGACACCTGTGTATGTGCTGCGGCCGAGTGACAATTCGGGGGGCAAGAGAGGCGTGTCGTCACGCGCCAAGTCTGCTGGCAGGAAGGCGGGTAGGCGTGCAACCGACACGTTCATGTTGTGCAGGCATTCAATATGCGTGTGTGTCTGTCTGTGTGTGCTTGTCCATGCAGCCAGCAGCAAATCGCATGGAGGGGCGTCGCTGATGCCGTCGGCGAGGAAAGGCAGTGAAGGGGCCTTGCTGAGGTAACCCGTTGATGTGTGCAGGGAGATGTCAATACGTGTCCACGTGTGTGTATACAGTGAGAAGGATCGGGCCGAGAGGTATTTCTCTGTCCGTGACGAGAACAATGCGCTCAAGAGACACCAGGCGCAACTGAATGAGCAAATCAGGGCCCTCACGGTGCGCATTCATTCAGTCAGTCAGTCATTTTCTGTCGTCTCTCCGTTTGGCACAAGTCTACACATGCGTACCTACGTAGGTGAAGTTGCAGCGGCTGCAGGGTGATTTGGTCAAGTCGTCCGCCTATCCGTGCGAAGGCCTCGTGTCCGACGAGATCGAGCAGCTCAGAGAAGTACGCGCACACGAATACTCTCATACTTATGTCAGGAGCTCATATGTTAGGAACTGCTCGAGGCCAATGAGAGGATCCGAAAGCAGGAGAGGCTCCTGGCCCACGATCCAAGCCTCAAGGTGACTGTGTGCCTGAACGGAGTATGCGTTTATGTCCACACGTCTTGCTTCTGCATGCAGCTCCTTTCTCACGGAGGAGGCTATCTGCGTGCCAGGGCAGCAATGTACACATGCCCACGGGAGGATCGACACACAATCATTTGGAAGTATAATGTCCATTGTGTTGTGTAGGCCCTTGCCGTCTCTGCCTTCCCCGAGACGCTCTGAGTCGCCCATTGTGCACTCGCTCAGGTGTGCATCCAATTTGCACATATGAGGGTCGAATGGACTTGAATACATGTCTTCATGATGTGTCCAGGTGTCAGCTGGCTCACGCAAAGGAGCAGACAGAGAGGTTTCAGGTGTGTCGATATTCCGTGGGTAACATTTACACGTTGGCCACGTGTCTCTTCCTTTCAAATGCAGGCGCAGAACGAGCAACTAATCGATCAGCTCCACAAGATGGCCGGCAGTGGCATCAAGCAGACAGCCACAGAAGTACGCGTGAGAATGCTTCAAAGAAGGCCGATTGACATGTTCACGTACACACAAATTGCAACAGGACCGCATGGCTGTCTCGGCGCCTTCATCCAGCGATTATGAGGTGGAGAATCTCCGCAAGAGGCTCAGAGAGGTGAGACGAGCACATGCATCCGTTTATGTACAATGTGGGCAATCACGTGGGCATGGGAATGCCTGCAGGCTGACGACGAGAGGCGTTCGCTGATGTCCAAGATCCAGCAGCTAGCAGAGAATCCCTTCCTCAGTGCCCTCGAGGGCAAGTAAGCATGTCGCCACACGTGGATCTGTGTTCATGGCCTTGCGTACAGGCTCGTGTCTGAGCGAACACTGCAAGAAATGGAAGAGCGACTCAAGAAGAAAGAAGAGGTGCTTCAACCCACACACACCTGTGTCTCCGTATGCATGACGTCCAGCCACATGCGCCTAATTCGTGTCTGTCTGCAGGAGGCTCGTAATGTCCAGGACCAGCTGGACATACTGGAGTCAGAGCGCAAGAGACGCGCAGCCGAGATCGACATGGAGAGGCAGCAGGTCAGTCCCTACACGCATGTGTTGTGTTGCCTGCATTGGGCGTTGTGTGTACGTACAGTATAGGTCGGCCATCGAGCAAAATGAGAGGCTGAAAGTGCGACTGGAAGACAGAGACAACCAACTGGCGTCATTCCATGTGAGCACAGAGAGTCGTGGATTGACGTGCGGGTGTGCATGTGTGCGTCTCTCAATCTATCGACAGGATCGCTTGCGCATTTTCATGGGCGTCCTGTCGTCCACCGAGCAGGTACATGAACAGCAAGGAATCAACGTGTATTTCTGTGTGAACGAGTGGTCATTTGTGCGAATCGATTATGCACACAGGAGTTCGTGCAGCAGTTCCTTGGAGAGCTGATGGAAAAGGACATCAGAGAGGGAAAAAGGCTAGCTCCGGGTGGCAATATGCTCCAGTGTAGGCGCACAACTATGCGAACACTGGGGCCATGCCCACACAAACGGATGTCCATGTGTGTGCAGTGGTCGATCAGCTGCGTCTGGAGAAGGCCCAGCTGGCAGAGGAAGTGCAAGCCGCACACTCCCTTCTCAAACGGTATGTAAGATACACACATGTTCATGTCAATCTGAACATGTGTTGGTCCTCTCACGTATACAGTGAGACGGCGATCGCGTCGTCTCTCCGCTCGTTACACGACACCGACATAAATGAGCTGACGGACCAAATCTCGGCAATGGGTACATACTTCTGCCGACGCAAGATCGTAGATACTCACAATCGTTTCCACGTGTGCAGCGGTTGATTCGGGCAAGTGGCGCATGTTGGCGGACCAAAGGCAGCACGCCATGCGAGAACTGCAGACCGAGCTGGCAAAAGCAGGCACCAGCCAGGTACGCAAATACACGCATGTGAACATCCTCAAGCACAAAATGCTGTATGAGCAGGATCGGCTTTTCGAGCGTCCCGACATGCAGCCTAGCGGAGAGAATTCGCTCGGTGCCTTCATGCATAGACCGCGCATGGATGATTTCACTTCCAAATTGACATGTGTGGATGCAGACATCTACATTGGCCAGGGGCAGATCGAGTCGGCTGTTGTGGGCGGCGATGAGGGGACAAGCTCATGCATACTGGTCGAGTTCTATGACTATGACGCGGCCGGCACACAGGTAGGCAGGCATCCCTCGTCGAATGCACTGCCTACTTGTGTCTTTGTGTTTGTCTCTTGATAGCACGCGATTGGTCTGTCGCCTCGCTATGGGTCGATGGTCTCCTTTCCCCTGCAACCCGACGAACGCACACTCGATCACATACAGAAGGCACGTTGGGAGATACCAACACGGAGACGTGTGTGTATCCGTACTCATGTGTCCGTGCGCTCACACAGGAAGGGCTGCACATGGAGCTGTGTGTATTGCGTGAGCCTGGCGAGCGGCCGATGACCCTGGGCAGGTGCCAGGTGCCCCTGGGCGACATCCTCAATGCGACACCAGCATACCCCAGCCCAGCTGTCAGAGGCACGGCTACATTCGTCGGTACCAATGGATGTAGGGCCGCATTTGGAGATGCGTATACTTGCGTGTGCGGCTGTTGCACACATCAGGTGATGGTCGGGCGGTTGGACGAGTGGACTATCGGATACGTATACGCAGCCCGATCATCGAGCATATCGACGTGCACAAAGGAAAGGTCAGCGTGACTATGGACTTGTGGATACACAAGCAATTGTGTTTATGTCAATTCTTGCAGCGGCAGCTGGTCGATGCGCAGGCTGCGACGGAAGCACGGATGATGATCCCCCATGGCGTGCAGGGCATCGACAGCTCACTGCTGGCCCGTATGTATACTGTGCCACACAGTTGTGCTCATTCACTTGAATGCCCACGCATTTGTGTTTGTGCAGCTACGCCAGTCCACACTCTCCTGATCAACGGTACGGTACAAACACATCGATATGCGTACATGTCTCTCCTCATGCGAGCGTGTCTCTATCCACGACAGTTGAGAGCATTAGCGGTCTGCCTCCCTCTGCGCGATCATATGTGTACTTCGAACTCCCCGAAGGCAAGAGGCACTTCACGCAGACAATGCAAGGCGGCGATCCACGGTGACTCACCCAGCAACGTGCACGTACAGGGTCTGTACGTCTTTGTTCGCGTACACATAGGTTTGAGAGTGAGTGTCGTGTGCGCATCAACGTGAGCGATGCGGCAGCTCTCCAGTGGATGTCGCAGCAGGCACTCCACTGCTTCGTCTTCGACGACACCGCTGAAGATACATCACAAGTGCGCATACGTGTGTACACAAGACATCGACATATGTACACACGAAGGTACTGCAGGCGGCTGTGCTGGGCGAGTGCCACGCGTCTCTCATGCCGCTGCTGCTCAAGGTAGGGTAAATGGTCCCTATTTATACACATCTATCTCCTTCGCATCTCGATCTTCGTATGCAGGCCTCACACGTGCTTCGCGAGTCGAAATGCCTCTCTGATCCATCCACCGGCAAAATGACAGCCGCACAGCTGCACGTACAGGTGAGTGAACACCCACGTGTATGTCCATGTGCAGCTCTATCATTCTTACCAACTCGTTCAAACAGGCCCGCTGGCAGGACATTCACCTCGCTGATGTGCCTGAGGCACCGCCAATTGCACCTCAGATGTCTATGCACACAGATGCTGAGGGGGCTCGCCAGCAGCCACAGCCGCAGCAGCAGCCTTCCTGTGACCACGTTGCTCTCCGCATTGCCGCCAAGATGCCCGCGATCGAAACCGACTTCACTCGCGCATGGAACATGATTGGCGCCAAGAGGTGGGCGGACCGTGATCAGGGTAGACAGACACAATACAAGTCCCTGTCTCAGCAACGGTCTTCTCTCATCGCGGGAGCTCTCACATCTCCTGCTGTCGTTGCCCTTCGGCCTGTCGCGTGATGGAGCAAACCTCTTGATATCATATTGCCCAGCATTGCCGACCGACAGGGAGAGCTTTCTCACCTTCGTGCAAAAACACGGAGGTCAAATCGACCAGGGGCACCGACAGCTGATTGAGAGGATCGCTGGCGCATTCGAGAGAAGTCACAAGACGGCCGATCAGATATTCAGGCAAGCACACGACACAAGCGATCCGTGTACAAATTGCATTCTGTGTATGGATGGATGTGCTTGCTTTGCTCCCAGCGAGGTCGACATTGACCGTTCCGGCCGGCTTTCGCAGCACGAGTTCTCCAGGCTCTTGCTGGCTTTTGATGACTCGCTGACAGACAGTGACCTCGGCCTGCTGTGGCACAATGCAGACAAAGACGGCTCAGGCAACATTGACAGAGACGAATTTGCCAAATTGTTTTTCAGACACAGAGGGAGAGCTGCTACTGGTGAGTGAGTGATCCTCTTGTCTGTCCTGTTTGCTTGTTCGCTTCCTTTCTCTGCAGATAGCACCATCGTCCATCTGCTGGATCGCCTGAGAAAGCGCGCAATCAGCGAATGGCTCTTTGGCGGCATCCGGGAGACACACGTCGACCGTGTTGACATGTCAGAGCGGCTGAGGGAACTCTCATGCGGGCTGTCGAACAAAGAACTCGAGCAGGTCATTCCGAGACTCAGACACACACACACACACACACACACAGACATTCGCAGTCCCCCATTTCTCTATTGTCAGTTGCTCGACCACTTTGCTGCGAGAAATGGATTGGTTGATGTGGAATCCCTTCGGCGTGAGCTCGACAAACCCCCAGGCGGCATTGACTTGTTGGTGCACAACCTGGGCAGCCGCATCCGGAGGGCAATCGAGCGCACAGGTTGGTCACGTTACCGCATGGGGTGAATGCTCCCTCTCTCTCTGTGTGTGTCATGGCGTGCAGGCGCATCGATTGAGGACATATTTGCCCGTGTGGATGAGGATGGCTCAGGGCGGTTGGAAAGAGCAGAGTTCCGGGCATTTGTTGAGAGGTTTGAGCCCTCGATAACGCCGAGGCAATTTCAGGGACTGCTCGATTGTCTCGACAAGGTTCTGACATGGCCAAAAGGCAAGAACAATGCTGTGTGTACATGGGAGTCCTTTATGCAGGATTGGTCAGGGTCGATCAGTTTGAGGGACTTTCGTGCGTTCATAGGGGACAAGACGGAGGAGAGGGTCGTCACTGAGACACACAGTGATGGCCTCATGAACCGCCTGTGTCGCTGCTTTGACGCACATGCAAACACTCTGCTACGGGTGAGCTGATTTGTGCAGACATCAGAGAAGGTGTGCAAGTCAGTGTACGCATGTACGCGCATGCAGCTGTTTCTGGATCACTCTGGAGAGCTTGCACGTGACGAGTGGGTGGCGGAACTCTCGGTTTTGCCCGTGGCCTTCTCACTTCCTGGTGTGTGCGCATACAGCGCATGAATACATGTATAGAAATGTGTGTGTGAATGAATGCAGAGCTCGATCACCTATTTTGGACGATGAAGGGACCGGAGAGCGATCGCCTGACCTATGATGACTTCGTTGCGGCAATCGACCAGCATCGGCAGCTGGTATGTACATTCGTAGCTACATATACTCATGCACGTCGGTCTCGACGTGTGTTTACACAGGGAGGGGGTAAAGCGACACAGGTGCTGAGAAGGATTTGTGAGGCGATCGAGAGAGCAGGTACATCGTCGAACGTTTGTATGCGCATGATGCCGCTAACGTGCGCTTATATTCCCACGTTAAGGTGTCGATCTGTCGACGGTTTTCTCCCGCATTGACACGAGAGGCCTCGGTTACATCACCCCCTCTCAATTCGCGTCTACCCTGACCTCATTCGAGCCCTCACTCACAGACACCGACATTGTATGCACACATATGCATATGCCGAGACGTGTACACATGGTGCACATTGTGTGTGTGCAGGAGTATCTGGTGTCTCTTGCCGACAAAGATCACGACGGCGAGATTGACTTCAGAGAGTTCGCCAGACTGATGAGAGAGAGCAGCACGGACCAACAGAAGCCGCTTTTTAGGTGCGCTTTTTAGTGTGCACTCATGTGCGTCATAAATTATTCATAGGATGCCCGTCCACACAGGCTAGCCCCCCCCCTTCCCCCCCAACAGACGCAAACAGGAAGGGAGGGGGGCGCCAAAACCAACCACAAAGGTGGGTGCACAACACATAACATTCACGCACAGTTGCACATATCTCCATGTTTGTTTGTACGCACAGGCGAGGAGGCCCACATCGCATCCATCTGTGGCCGCATTGCCAAACGATTCATAGCCGACCAGAGAGTGGACCTCTCCTCGCTTGAAACCATGTGGTAAGTTGGTTCACGCGCCCACACGGATCCACGCGTGTGTGTGCGTGTGTGTGTGTGTGTGTGCAGGGGGCAGGGGAGCATGGATCACTTGTCACTGAGGGACTTTCTGCCCAAACTTGGAGCCAAACTGTCCGCCGATGAGGCCGACATGGTGGGTGTCGCGCGGAATATTCACTGTCACACCTAAATATCTATCCCATTTGAGCATTCATACACGTATAGCTGGCTGCCCATCTGACCAAGAGAGGGACGCGACCAGTGTCCTTTCGGCAGTTGGAGAGCCTGCTCGAGTCATCGGCAGTGAAGGCAAGTCATGCATACGCACGTGAGTACGCAAATGGTATATGTGTGCGTCCATGCGTTGATGCAGGCTACCGCCCTCGACCAATGGGCGATCGATTTCATCTCTCGGGTGAAGCAGGCTGCCCTTCGCAAAGGCACAAGCATGGAAAAGTCGCTGAACACTGGTATGTGCATGCACACATGGGGACACTTGACACACGACGGAGACAACACATAGAGACACGACTCCATCGCGTGCAGACGTGATTTCGTCTTCGGCGCTGAAGAGTGTGCTGAAGGGCGTGTGTGTGCACATGCCCGAGACACAGCTGCAGCGGCTCTGGGACGTGTGCCCGAAGGAGAGTGACGGGTACGCAGTAAACGCATCTCCATTAATGCGAGCACAGGTCTGACGTGTACGTCTCCTGAACCACAGGACGGTGCTTCCCCCGGTGTTCTTCTCCTACTTCTCACAATCGCTGCCCTCCTACCTGTCATCTGTTATCCCCACCGGTAGACACACACAAACACACGTCCTCGCGGATCTGCGCACTCATACGTTCTTTCAGGCAAAGGCCCCTTCGAGTTGAGACCTCCTGTGCCGCTGCGAAGGCAGCGAATCATCAAGGGCGATGAAGGAACACGTACGTATGTGTGCCTTTGCGCATTTGTAAACAAAAGATATGTTCACGTGTGCATGTATGCAGGGAGAGGAGAGCCGGCGGAGAGCGCAGTGGACAGGGAGATGGCGCATGTGCTGCTGGGCAAGATTAGACAGAGGCTGGAGCAGAGGGGACTCACTGCTGAAAGGGCATTCAGGCTGATGGTACGAAGCGATGGACACGCAGCGCAACACACATTTCGTGCATTCATCGATGTAGGACGCTGATAAGAGTGGCTCGCTGTCGCTCGATGAGTTCACACGGTCAGACACTCATGCCCACAGGCATCGAGCATATGTAGTGGACGCATGCAGGGCACTTTCCTGTCTCCATTTGGGCCTGTCCTCTCGCGAGATCGCATCTGTGTTCTCCCTCATTGACACCAATAACAACCGCAGCATCTCTCTTGCAGGTGCGTGCCTGTCACTTTTTTGCCTTATGTGGCTATGTTGACATATGTCTGCACGGTATGTGTCCACCAGAATTCTCGCAAGCCCTGAGCACCAGCAGCCCCCCTGCTGTGACGGCCGCCTGGCTGAGACGGCTGACCGAGAGGATTCGTGGCGCCATCAGCAGAGCTGCTGTCGGGGTGGTAAGCGTGTCTCCAGATGTCGGCGTGGCGCCTACAGGAATCACAGATGCATGTACAGGAGGACGTGTGGCGGCGATTAGCGGACGGCAAAAGCAGCATCGGCTTTGCGGAGTTTGAGAAGGTCGTGGCTTTCTGCTGATACACTCATACTGTCAAATATGTACGTGTCCGTGTTTGTATGTGCAGATGGTCCGTGCGTTTGAGCCCTCTCTGGGTGATGGTGACCTCCACCGCTACTGGTCACTCCTCGACAAGGACCACTCAAACGCACTCGAATACGATGAATTCGCTGACGCATTCGGACCATCCACCGACGGCTACCCAAGTATAAGTACATACAACTGCATACAGATCAATGTGTGTATACGAATGTCGCATTTCTGTCCGTCAGTTGATGTGTCTTCGGTCGATTGGCTGGTGGTGTTGGGGCGAGTGTATCTGGCGATGGAACAGAGAGGCGATTTCGCCCTTCTCGAAGCAAAGAGGTGGTTGCCACCCACAGACATACGTGAATGAGTGGACGAACATGTCTCTATGTCGGCAGCCCTCTGGCGTACGCGGACTTCCTGTCGATCTTGAGTCGCATGCAAGCTCATGTCTCACACGCAGAGGCCCAGGTGACGTTCTCTCACCTCGACACTGATGGCGACGGCCGTATTGACACAAACGACATCAGAGAGGGCATGGATCGCGCCGACACTTGTAAGCGTATATGTACATGTATGTCTGGTCACAAGAGCACTGTTGAACACAACGCTTCTTTTCGTCCACAGGCGAGGAGACTCAGAAAGAGCTCAACAGACTGGAGACGTCAGCAATGTGCACACACCAGAGGGAAAGTCACATTTCGTGGTCCGTGTAGGCTGGCGATGAGAAGAGACGGCAGGAGGTTGCTGCAGTGGTTCAGCGACCGCCACCCGAGCTCTTCAATCACCGCGCAGAAATTCCTGGCCTCTCTTCTCTCTTTGGACCCCCACCTGCCCTCAAGCACGACCACACGCCTCATACACATGGCCGACAAGACAGCCAAGGGACGCATCCTATTCATCCCATTCATCACACGCTTTGCCGGTATGTATGTCTATGGGACGTATGCGTATGCATTTGTTGTGTGTACATCAATTGCAGGCAGAGCGATCCAAGAGCCGCCAACAGCACCAGCCGTGCCCTCTGGTACGTGCACCATAGATCAAAAGGATACGTACCTGTCTATGCATCCATGTACACTAATGTACAGCAGCCACCAGCGAGGAGATATGTGTGTTGATGGATCGTCTGGTGCGGCGGCTGGAGGGCTATCAGCTGTCCGTCACGCAGGCATTCGCCATGTACGACATCGATCAAGACGAGGTATGGACAAACATAAGGGAAAATTATCTCACAGCCGGATCGAGACATGTGAGCCCATGTCTCCCCGTCCATGGTTCAGTTGCTGAGAAAGGCCGAGTTTGCCAAGGCTCTGTGGAGCATGAACCTGAGGCTCGCTCTCGATGAGATAGAGCTGCTGTTCTCACACATCGACTCCGCACAAACCGGCCAAGTCAGCATAGGCGACCTACAGGTAAGTAAACTGACCACCTCTGCTTAGCTAACACACAAAGCATATCTTTCTGTCTCCGGTCCTTTGTTTCCTCAGCGAGCCGTGCAGGGCCACAGATCACAGAATTACGCCCAATGGGGAGAAGACATATTCCAGAGAGTGGTCGCAAGTCTCGCGCGGACGGGGCTGGAGCCAGCAAGTGCCTTGCAAAAACTTGACAGACACGGCAACGGGCTGATCGACGCCAGAGACTTCACGCGCTTTCTCAAGACATTCGAGCCATCCTTGGCCGAAGACGACCTCATTAAGTCAGAAAAAACAGACACAGCGATGCCCTGATTGTCATGTCCCTCTTGTTGCAGGCTGCTTTGTCTCGTGGACAAAGACACCAGCGGAGCCGTCGACGCAGACGAGTTCATCAAGACATTTGCCGCTGTCAGAGCGCCGTCCGTGCCTGTGCCGCGTTCGCCGACGTTCCATGACGAGGGCACATTTGTTCCGACTCTGGCAGCCGATGATCCTTATTCGATCATCCTAGCCCGCATTCGCGGCAAGATGGCTGGCATCGAGCGGTTGGTGGCCCACGACGACAGGATCGACGCGGTGGTCTACGGGACGGTTATGAAGCGATGTGGGATAAAGCTCTCGGCAGCGGAGCTGGCGGGGCTCTTTGGTCGCCTCGACACAGACAAGGACGGCTACATCTCCTTGAGAGACCTGAGGGCGGCCCTGTCTGCCGCCCCCACGAGGGAGTGGGCAGATGCTCTCTTTCGCCGCATTGGTGATGCAATCGTGTACACGGGCCGGTCACTGGTGGACGAGATGCGCGAGGCGGACATCGACGGCAGGGGGGCCATCGGTTCGGGCGTCTTTCGCGGGGTGCTGAGAGGGATCGAACCAAGACTGACGGACCAAGAGCTGGAGAATATGACGCACTACGCCAACAAAGTAAGTCCAGGAAGTGCGGGCGCATCTGTGTACTTGTGTGGAAGTGAAATGTGTGGTGTACTACTGATCAGGCCGAGGATGGTTCAATCGACATCGAGGATTCTCTGAATGCCATGGCTCGCGCAGACCCACGTACGGCCCGCCGCACACTCGAGGGAGTGGCCGGGTGTTTTGCGAAGCGCGTGAGGCAACTCCAAGACCGAAATGTTCTGGAGAGAGCATTCGCGAGGCACGACACCGCAAAGAGCGGCATCGTGACCGCATCGCAATTTGCACGAGCAATCACGTAAGCAGTCTCAATGCCGCCCATTCGCCCTCACGGAAAAGGCGCTTACGTGTACAGGTCGTTGTGGCCATCTGCGAGCGACAGCGACCTGATGCAGCTGCTCAGGTTCACTATGCGAGGCAGCACACCAACCACATGGGACCAGTTTGCATATGAGCCGTTCCTGCGACGATTTGCGGACGACACGGGCGATTTTCATCCGGTGGCAAAAGAGGAGAGGGGCAAAGTGGCAAGACACTGCCAGCTGCTGCAGGTAAGAAGCGGAAAAGAAGAGTCCTACATGTCCCAACAAACAGAGACAGGCATGACGTCATGTATCCAGGATGCCCTTGTGGCGAGGGAGCTTTCGCTGCCAGACTTAGTGGAGGGCGCCTCTCTTTCTCGCGATGTCTTCGTGGACCGATTGCGCACACACCAGGTGATATCAAGACACGCACACCCACACAGATTGTGTATGAAGGTTTTTTGCAGGTGCGAGTCGACCCAGCTGCGCTTGTGTCGGTCCTGAGGCTGACGGCCATCGATGCGAGCGGCAAGATGGACACACAGGAGCTGATCCCACGATTCAACCTTCTTCTGCGGGAGCGGGAAACCACCACGGCAGGTACGTGTACGGCCATTGACACACACGCACACTGACAAACAGACAAGCAGACGTGCGGGTGGGCGTGTGCAGAGAAGGAGAAGAAGAGGCCATTACAGCTGGCCCTCCCTGATCGCATGTGTCCCGTTGCATTGACGGAGAGCCAGCAACACGCGTTGAAGGGCATACTGGCCAGACGAGACAAGCAGCAGGTAGGCTTTATATTAACGTACTTCCGCATTTGGACGTGAAGATGCGTGTACGGCGTGCAGACGGGCTATGTACCATTTGACACGCTCGTGATGGCATTGTATGACGTCGGCGTGGACCTCCCGCCCTGGCGGCAGGATCAGGTATCCGCTTAAGCATATATGAATCCATACATGTCTCCCCTCGTATGCATGTGTTTTCGGTCTCTCAGTTGAGGCGTTGGCTGGTTGAGTGCGGGGAGGGGCAGGAGCCGCATGGACACGTCTGCTATCTACCCCTGCTGACCCCTGCCGCGCAAAAGACAGAAACTATCAGCAAGACCGCACTCACTGCCGGACAGGCGCTTCGCTTCACTGCGTCGGACATTGTGCTTTCCGGCCGTGCACGAGCATCATACACCGCTTTCCGGCTCGAGTGCGAATTTGCCAATCACATCCTCTCATCGCCGCTGATCCCTGCACCCAAGTAAGTAATGTCCATCCATATTTGTATTCGGCTTAACCTATCTATGTATCTGCAGGCGGAACTTCACCTTGTTTGCCTCGTCTCGGCTTCGAGCCGACTGGAGTGCCGATTTTCCTCTGGCTGGCAAAGACGCCGTCGACACGGCCGATCTTCGTGAGGTGTTTATCCACTGCCGTCAGTCTATCATCTTCACCGTGTATGGCCTTCCGTATACCCACGAGAATCTGAGCAGCAGCGGGGCGGTCACACCAACACAGCAGCAGGCACTCACCCCCACAGCCGGGGAGAGGCCAGCGACACCGCCGTCTGCCCGAGGCGGCTTGAGCGAGATGGGATTTGGGTGGGGGATTGGCGAGGGCAAGAAGGTACTTATCCATGGACACATCCCGACATGAGTATCAATGTGTGTACGTATGATATGTGTATCTGTCGTGGCCGCCGCAGCTTGGCTCTGTGGCGCTGCGCGGGGAGACATTCAAGAGACGAGGGGCCTTGAGGGATGTCAGCAAGAGGGAGCTCGTCCTCTACTGGCCGGAAGGTGCATGCACTACTTGTACACTGGGGGGAGACACCACACACACCACGGGTATTTGCTTTGCGATGGCAGGTTCGACGCAAGATACAGCAGCTCTACGCGTGTCGTTGATCGTCTCATCGCAGAACGTCAGACGTCTGGAGAAAGCGATCAGATAGAAACCCTCTCCGCGTTTGGAGACACCACATTGTCTTCATGTTCACGTAGCTCTGTCAATACGCGTTGTTTCAAAGCTCGAATCGAGACACATGGAGGGTGAATGATTGAAACGTTACGTGGAGCCCGGCGATACATAGTAGAGGCGAGCTTGTATGCTCATGGTCTGTACGAGGCTCCCCAGCAAGAGGTTGCTGCACGCGAGCCTCGAGAGGCGCAGGAAACGCGTCGTCCCATTGAAGTGGCTTCAATCTTCGTGTTCAGCTTAGAAGAAATGGAGAGAACAAGCTGGGAAGACGCTGAAAAAACGCGTTGAAGGAAAAACTTTCGTCTCCTAGAGATTTTCTGCATCTGTGTCCATCTGGGATACCTGTACGCTAAGCGTCGAACATCCGGACTGCGGTGTTTGACGCGGCGCGCGTCTCTAACCCAATCCACACAAAGAGGTTGGACCGGAAACGCCGCTGTGAAGAAGGCGCTCGTCTCAGTTTCAGTCTCCACAATCGAACGATGGTGACACAACGGCAAAAGGTCGGGAAGTGACCTGGCAGACGTGTGTGTGTGTGTGTGTGTGTTGATGTCTGTGCAGGGGGACGATTTGAAGTTTGTTGACTCTGAAATGGGTGGTGTGCCGTCCACTGCACCGTCGTCAGTCGCTCCTACAGGGCGCGGCCCTGTTGGGCAGGCCGATATGGCCGAATCAACCAGCTCATCGATGGGCTTCCTCAAGACGGCCAAGCATCCCGTCGTGTGTTGCTTCCATCTGGGATTCAAACTGGCGGCTTTGATTACGTAGGTGGCAGGACAGACAAGGACGGGGAAGAGACTCACCCTGACTGTCGGTGGGTGATGGGCGTGTGTGTGTGCTGGCAGGTTTATTTTTTCTGGGATCATCTTCAGTAATTTCATCGTCAACTTTGTGGTGACGACTGTCTTCCTCGCATTCGACTTCTGGACCGTCAAGAACGTCACAGGGAGGTATGTATGCACGTAGACGGCACCGGATACACAGTGCGTGCCAGGCAGATGGCGTCGGTCTCTCTGTGCCAGGCTGTTGGTGGGCATGCGGTGGTGGAACGACATCAAGGAAGACGGGACGAGCGAATGGATATTCGAGTCACTCACGGTGAGAGCATGCCTTGTCGAACGGGCGAGGGGATGGCTGGCCACTCCTCTGTGTCTTGTTGTCTTGGTGGGGCGGTGCGTCTGGTTGTATGTAGGACGAGCGTCAGATCAATTCGACCGACAAGAATGTGTTTTGGGCAGGTCTGTGGCTGTGGCCTGTCGCATGGGTCGTCTTCCTGTTCGTCGAAATATTCAGACTGCAATTCACATATGTGAGGCAGACAGCCAGGCGGCAGCGCCGCACGCCGATTGATGGATGCATCGCTGATCTCCTGTGTGCCTGTTCAGCTGCCGATCCCCATTATGGGTCTCATTCTGGCGGGTTCAAACACAATCGGATACTGGAAATGCAGCAAAGGTGTGTTCACGCGGCCACGCAGACGATCTGCACAGACCATGTGTACACAATGCGTGTGATGTGATGTGATGTGATGTCGCTGGGACAGATGCGAAAGACAAGGTGCGCCAGTGGGCTCAGCACAACGCGGTGCGGGCGGTCGTGGGCTCAGTCATCTAGCTGGTCAAGATTGGGGTCCGTGCAAAGTGTTGATAGATGAACCGAGTACATACACACGCGACGGCAGATAATTAAGAAGATATGTGGAAGCGACAGGAGAGAGAGGGGGAGGTTTTTGCGTCACCTACCTTGTGTGCATTTCTCTCTTCGTTCGTGCCCTTCTCTTCGGTCATCCCTAGCACTGACTGTCAGACCATTGGTCTTGCCGCATGCTGCGTGATTTAATTAACACCTAGTCTGTTTGTTGGCAACGTTCGCCGATCAGTTACCAATGTGCCCCATTGACCCACACAGCAAGCAGCTCAGCTCAGCTCACGCCGGCGAATTGTCTGCCACGGAACCACGCACCAACCTTGGTCCATAAATAGTGACTGTCAACACGGAAAAAGATCACCAGTGTCCTCTTGTCACACGGAAAAAGACACATCACATGCACACATGTCTTCGGCCACAGCGACTGATGGCTCAAAAGGTGAGCATGCGCACAAGGAGGAAACAGAAAGGCAGGAAATAGCTTACACTTCACCCGTTTCTTTGCGATACACTGGGCCCTCTCTACCAACGACCCTTTTCATCAACAACACATCAACAAAACCCTCTCTCTCTTCTCTCTTCTCTTGCGCTCCCTCCTTTGCTGTTGCTCAGACACTACTGTTGCGCCATATGTGCTACATCGATATCCTCACACTGCCCACTATACACCCAACGGACACCGAGAAAAATGCGGCGCCGCGATCGACGAGTCAAATTAGTGACTCGTCGAGCACACGAGCGCCCCGCTGCAGCCATTCGTCCCCATCCGAGCAACACAAGAGGCATGAACGTCACATAGGATCACGTTTCTCTATCCGATCGCGAGTTCGTTAGGTTTGTCGCACTCAGCCAAATCGTAGATCTCGGTGTCCACAAGGTCGTTCCAATCGGTAATGGGCTCCATGTCCCTCTCACGCACCAGCACCTTGTTGTTCTCCTACACGCACACGCACACTCAGACAGTGATACCACAGCTGAGCTTCTGTCTGTCTGTCTTTCTTTCTGTCTGTCTGTCTGTCTGTGTTGTCAGGTCCTCTCACCTCCCAAAGCTTGAACGTTTGTGGCGTCACTCGCCTTGAGACGACATCCTCATCTCGACCAGTGCGGCCGGCACGCATGTAGATCACCTTGCGAGGGGCCCGCTCTGACACGTAAGCAGACACAGATGACTGCTGTGCCTCCCCCTGGGTGCGCGTCCTTTCTGCCTCACCTCTGACAACGATGCTGCATGTGAGCGGCGAGGAGGGGTCCGTCTGCACCGTGATGCTCTCGTGTGGCATCAGGGTCTTGCCGCTCATCGTGAACACAAAGTCACGCGGGCTGTACTGATTCAGGTGGGGCTTGAATTCTTGTTTGATGTCCCCTATCATCAGATAGAGGGAACTCCGCCTCTTGACATAAGCAGGGCCCAGTGTCCTCTCGTCGGGGAGGATGACGAGCACGCAGGCATCAGTGAGAGCCACAGGGCGCATCTCGCCCATGCTGAGAGCTTGCGCCTGATGCCGACATACACGGTGGCAAAGACAGTAGGTCGGAAAGTGCCTAAGTGCAGTTGTGCTGCTGTGCTGACTGACCTGAAGGGCTGTAGGTGCGTGGCTGTCAAGGTCACCATCAGCAAGAGACCAGAGAAGAAAGTGCCGATAGGCTGAATCAGATGCTGATGCCCTCCTGAGAGCAGAATGGCCATCTCGTGATGCGGCATCGGATAGGTGTGCGGGAGCAGGCATCCACAGCAGCGGCTCCCTCCGCCGCATCGAGAGAGCAGGGACGGGCAAAAGGAGAGGAATGACAAACCATAAGCCAGAGATCACCATGATCCTCGAATTTGTCGGCATCAGGGATGTTCAGAAATAGCAACGCCGTGAAACTCATCTGGTGGGATGTATGCCATGTTCGTACTTTGGATGTACGCACAGCTCAGTGTCGACCCCTTCACTATCCGTGTGGGGCGACACTGACCGAGTTGCCGACAGCCGGCCACACCACATGTACACACACAATGACACGCACCAAACACAGAGGACGACCGAATTCCCACAAGCGACAAATATGCCTGCCTACTAGACGTGTGCACCGTCTGTCTACTTTGTCTCCTTCGTCTCCTTCCAGCGGTCCATCTGTACAGCCACCTACGCGAGCCCTCTTGCAAAGACACACCAACACGTTCACACATGCATATGTGGATACCAACGATCGTGGGAAAGGAACAAAAAGAAAAAGGAACGACAACGAATGAGACAAAGCGATTGCGTGCACAGGACGGGTGGTCCCCGGCCCTCTCATGTTAGCGCTATACATACATACACAGAACTAACTTTTACGTAGATGTTTGTCTCGTCTGTCTCTCTGTCCGCCCCACATCTGCTGTGTTTTCGGGCGGACAAATTGCCAGTCTGTCTGTCTCTCTCTCTGTCTGTCTGTCTGTCTGTCTGTCTATCTATCGATCCACTCCATTGTCTTGAGCAGAAAGGAAGGCCACCGGCGTGTCCCTTTCACTGCGTCCTTCATGCGATGGCTTTTTGGATGGGAACTTATGGATGCCGTCATGGTCGTACACCCGCACCTCGAAGATCAGAGCCTCGTGCGCCCCATTGGTTGCCAAGACCATGATGCGGACGGCCTTGACGCCCTCTCCCTTTGGGTCGACCTTAGCAAGGGCATGGCGGACGTCGTGCACCCTCTTGCGCTGGTAGTTGTCCCGTATCTCGGCCACTGTGTGCCACTCGTCCAGTGTGTGGCTGGGAGAGTCACCATCAGTACCAGCAAGCAGCACCTGGAGGTTGTAGTGACTGACGGTCTCTGGCTGTGGCTCGCCCCAGACCATCTTCTCCCATCGGCCTTTGTGCAGCGATAAGGTGAGCTCCCGGTGCATGCCTGTGTCAAAGACCAGCTCAATCTGCACACACGTGAGAGAGACGAGACACATCGACCGACCAATGAGTCCGTCTGCTGTAATTGATGCATAGAAACCAACGTAGTACCAGTGAGAGGTTGCGTATTGGCTGGTCCCACTCGAGCACCAGCCATGCCGGCACACTCTTGGAGATCCATCGGTTGACGCCATCGAGGCGCTGCCCCGGAGCCGCACCCAAGTAGCCATGCACTGCACGATTCTGGCCAGAAATCACCTGCATGGCATGAGTGGCCGACGCACATAGGATATGCACACATTCACACATTCACATCTCCAGACATCCAATCGAACGAACAAGGCCGGCACGTGAGACTTTCGCTTTACCTCTTTGGCGATTCCGCTGGCATTCTCTGACGACGCGTAGATGTGTGCACGGCGGGCGTAGTCCTGCGCACACAAACAATAGGGAGGGCAGCAGCAATGCATATGCATGTCTGTGTGTATTGGGTACTCACCCTGGGGTCTTCATTGTACATTCCTATGATGTACTGGTCGTCACGCAGCAGCTGCTGCTGAATGCTCCACACAGCATCTGCAGGGACGGAAACCACGAATGGTGAAAGGCCACGCAAATGAATGCACATGTCTCAATGTCTGACCTTTGTCGTCTGCAAGCTGGTGGGGCTGCACGTCATGTAGAGCGCAGTAAGCAGCAGCAGTGCCCGTGGCCTGGCCCATCGCAGCGCAGGTCTTCATCACACGCTGGCTGCCAAACACCACATGCGAGAACGACGCAAGCCTCCCGGCAAACATCAAATTGGTCGCATTCAGAGCCACTAGAGATCGCAGAGGAGTGCTGCATACATACATACACACACACACGAGCGCACACACACGCAGCCATGCGCGATGAGACGCAGGAAACACCACACACAAGTGAGCGAATGCATGGGCTGTACAGGCAGGTGACCTACCTGTAAATATAAGGGAGGCGATGCCCTACAAACGCGGGGACGGACGTATCGAGAACACCCTTGACGGCGTGTAGGTCAATATTCCATCCACCATGGGACACACGGTCCCAGAAAAGGGCAGGGGGACGGGACTTGTCCACATCTGATGAAAGCAGGTATGTATCAGTCCACCCGTCAACGTCTCCCTGTCTCGCCACTTACCTGGCAGGATGTCGTGCTGCGTCATGACGTATTGGCCTTGGAAGAGGCGACCTGAGAGCAAACAGGCGGACAGATCGACACTCGTACATGTGTCGCGCCCACGTATGTATGTCGCCAGCGTACCTTGCCGTTTGCATGGCCACCACTCGAGCCACTCGATGGCCAGGTTGTCGGCCTCAGGGTAGTTGCCGCTGTTTTTGATGTAGTCCCACACGCCCATGACGACCTCCATGAGTTTGTCCCTTATCTCCTCATTCTCGTGGATGGTGTGGAACGGCCACGCCACCTCGATCCACCAGTAGCCGTACTCCAGGTCGTTGATTCCCCTGTAACGGAAATCCTCCTTGGTGTACCGAATCGCCCTGCATGACATGAGGCACACCACACATGAAGCAAAGCGAGATGCCAGAGTAAGTGCACCACGTGTCTGTCGTATTCGGCTGACCATGATGGAGGGGTGAAGGGCATCTTGTGTGGGTGCTCCCTGGCGACGAAGGCCAGGCTGCTGCCCATGGTCTCCCCGTCCTCCTTGGGCAGCGCAAGGGACTCATTATACTGGTGCGACGACTCACGACCTGCAAACAAACAAGAAGGCACATGCATTCGAGACGTGAGCGACTTATTCCCATTCTTTCTCACCGATAATGTGCGGCACTTCCGCCTCGGCGCCCAATCTCCCATCGCCCGTCGCATCGATGAAGACCTTGCCCTTGATCAAATAGCGAATCTGAGAAAGGCAAGGATCGTGCCATTTTGGACGACAAGCACTTTTCCGAACGTATGCACCTGAGTTTCCTGGTTCTCTGCAATGATCTCTGTCACGGTCTTTGCCGGCGTCTTTGTGGCGCCGACTACCCAGGTGTTGAGCTGAGAAGAAACAGACAGGCAAGAAGAGCGCCGGTTCCGTATCTATAGATGTGCAGCAGCTTTTGTCGCACACGTACCAGCAGCTGACAGTTGGGCCCACTGGTCCGGAAGTAGTCGTAGAGGAAGAGGTCATGCATGCTGTGGCTTCGCTGGCCGTTCTTGACGGCATTCATGAGCGTGTATTCCTCAACAATCCCGCCCTCCCGTGTTTCTGTCGCCCTGTGTCTGCCGCGGACACCTGATCGATCAGCCACACCGTTTCAATGCAATGCGTGTGTAGACCAGCGACCCTGTCAACGTGTGTGTCTTTGGTCTGTGGGGGGTACGTACCGTGAAGGTCAGCACCGACCATGTGCAGCTTGGACTCAGACGACGCATTCCCGCCAAGCACACCCCTGATCACCGCACCCACCGCGGTCACTTGCTCGCTCACAAACACGACGTTGCCTGGCCTGCCCCGTACGGTACCTGCTCTGAACGAGGATGGTCTTGGCGCCGCTCCTGCAAGAGGCCAGCGCGGCATTCGTTCCGGCGCTGCCTCCACCCGCCACCACCACTTCAGCCTCCAAGTACTTTGTCACCAAACCGCCACCGACGGGCTCATCTGCACCCACAGCCAAGGATTGTGACAGCCCGGCTGACGTTGATTGAGTCATCCGTGTTTCTTTCTTACTGTTTCTTGGCTTGTCGTCTGGCTCCAGTGTGAGTAGATTTTCCGCTTCGGCAGCTGACCTGGCTCCCTCCTCCTGTTCGGCGACTTCCGCCCTTGCCATCGTCAAACATGACGCCAGAAACGCGGCTGCGATCCATCCACACAAGAAACGAGGCCTCATGACAGCGAGAACTAAGAAGGCTTAGATCAGGTTGTGTGTTTCGACGCACGGCTCGCAAGTCAAAAACTCGCGCTAACGGCAGGGCACCTCGTACGTAAACTTGCCGTGCACCGGTGGTGATGCGGTGCACACTCCGGTAATGCTGCTCTCCGTAGTCTTGTCGTTTCCTTGTCTTGCCCTTATCCCGCTTCATCGTTGACGGCGACTGTCCGCCGCACCTCCATTGACTCGATGAGGGTCCCTCTCGTTGCTTGCGGCATGCTGCTCGCCCTGGCAACGACTGCCGAAGCATCACCTAACAGAGGTGGGGTAGGGTCCCACGAAAGCATCTGCCGTCATGTGCATGACCTGACTCACCCACGTTTTGTGTCTTTGTTTGGTGTGTTGGTTGGTCGTGTGCTGCTGTGCTGCCTCCAGAGGAGGCAGAGGAAAGGGACAGGTGCTGCGTCGACTGCCAGCTGTTCGACCTGCAGTGCTGGGCCTGCCATATCTTGGACATCTTCGATCGGACCTGCAGCGGGGATGAGTGGGCTACTGAGGGGAGCTTGGACGAGGCGGCCTTCATGGCGGCATCGGCCGAAGCTGATGTCCACGCTTTGGCCACTCAATCCGTCCTCTCGGTCATGGACTCGCCTTCCATCCCGGACTGGTCAGCCTATGTCGTGACGCTGTCTGTGGATAAGTCGGGCCGTCTGCGGTATGCTGTGGATTCACGCGACCCTTCTGCTCCGGTCATGCTGCCTTCAGCTCTCGGCATCTCGGTGGACGGCCATGATCTGGGCGTTGATGTGGAGCTGGTCGACAAGGAGGAGCGGCCAGTGGAGGAGAGCTATGTGACACGTGGCAAGCACAACTTGGCTGAGGCCAAGTACAACGATGTCTCGTTCACGTTTCGCCATCGTCCGTCGGATCGTCTCTGGCACCTCGACTTCCGCCTCTTCCCTGACGGGCTTGCCTTCCGCTACTCTCTGCCCGCCACAGATGCGGCAAGTCAATCGACGGTCAATGGTGAGGCGTCGCATTTCTCCTTCCGCTTCATGGACGACGACGACGCGCCCACCGACGACCACCACCACGCTTGGTTTTTCCAACGTGACAGACTCAGCAACTATGAGCTGAGGACATATGCTGGCGTCTTTCAGAGTGCCCCTGCCAGCTCCCTTGCCTCTCGACCGAAGGGCAACGGCCCGCCGAACAGATATGGTGCCCCGCTGCTGTTCCACGATGTCTCAGAGGCTGGCGCTTTCCCCTATCGGCTGCTGACGGAAGCTGCTCTGTACGAGTACCCAGGGATGCGCTTTCTCGCCCTTCCAGACGGCAGGACATTCGCCGCCGACCTGGCCGACGAAGAAGTCACTCTATCGCTGCCCTTCAAAAGTCCGTGGCGCGTCATCTTGCTTGCCCGCACGCTCGACGACCTGATCAACAACAACGTCATCACGTCGCTGAACCCGCCCCCCGACCCCGCCCTTTTCCCCTCTCCCCCGCTCTACGCGAGGCCCGGCCGCTCCGTGTGGCGGTGGTGGCGCCACGGGACAGGCACGCCAGTCCAGGAGATTCAGTACATTGACAAAGCGGCTGAGCTCGGCTTCGAGTATACGACCATCGACGAAGGCTGGGCTGACTGGCCGGACAAGTGGGCAACGATGGAGGATATGTGCGAATATGGGCGGGAGAAGGGCGTCGGGGTCGTGCTGTGGAAGGACTGTGCTGAGGTGGAGAACCCGGAGAATGACTACAATGACCTTCGGAAGTTCCTCGACAATGTCAAGGCCACGGGAGCAGTGGGCGTCAAGTTCGACTTCTTCAACAGGTAGGGAAGATCGCACATCTAGGACAATGCCTATTGATGATCGCGAGAGTGATCATTTCTGTGTTCCGTTTTGCAGTGAGAGCATTTTTCGAGTCCGTCTGCAAACGAAAATCCTCACAGAGGCCGCAAAGCGGTGAGTAAAAACAAGCATGAGGGATCAGGGCTGTGAACGTGATTGTGCCATGATGCAGGCAGCTCTTCATCAATTTCCATGGCATACAGGTGACGACAGGCACAAGAGAATACGCCAAGCTGCACAGTAGAATACTTGTTTTGTCTTCTGTATCCGTAATTCTCAGAAGCCCACTGGCGAATGGAGGAGCTTTCCCAACGAGCTGACGCGGGAGGCCGTGTGGGGCTTAGAGATCAACAAGATGTCGGACAACTACCCACCGATCGAGCCATCGCACAATGCCGCGCTGCCATGGGCGAGATTCGTGCTGGGTGCGGCCGACTACACACCGCTCGCACTCGCCAAAAATCGGCGAGGGCCCACCACAGTGGTGAGGGAGAGAGAAAGAAATGGGCCACCAAGGCAGGCGCTGGGACGATGCATGTGCTTTGGTCTGTGCGTTGCCTTTCCTTCTGTCTGTCTGTCTGTCTGTCTGTCTTCAGGTGCATCAGGTTGCCCTGCTGGTGTTGTTTGACTCGCCCCTTCAAACAATCGCCGAGGACCCTTTCTACATCCTCGACCCCAACAAGCCACACGCGGCCGCACTGGACGTCATCAAGGCCATCCCCACCACATGGCAGCGCACACGCGCCGTGGCCCCCAGCAGCATCGGCCGCCTGGCCGTCATGGCACGCAAAACCAACGAAGGAGACGTCTGGTTTTTGGCGGCCATCAACGGCCTCAGCGAGACGCAGACCGACATAGAGATTCCGGTGGACTTCCTGGACAGTGACAAGGTGTACGATATGGTGATGGTCTACACTGTCGAGACAGGGGGGGTGGGGGAGGGGCAATCGGTGATGCGGGAAGAGCGCAGGTGGGACGTTGGGCAGCGGGGGGCACTCAAGGGTGTGCGGTTACTGGCGGGGGATGGGATCGTTGTCATGTGGAGTCCTGTTGGTGGCAGCTGAGTGGTCAGTGTGCAAGGCCAGTTTTAGCTAGTGCACTTCTTGGTTGTAATGAATGGACACTTAGGGAGGCGTCCTTGGCTGGCACGCACTCGCTTTGTCGTTCATTCATTGTCATTGGTGTCGCTGTCATTCATTGGTCTTGCTTTGGCTGTCGTTTTTCGCGATGGATGGTAGGTCGGCATTTATTCATGTCTGCGTTGCTGTGTCTTTGCGATAAGGCTCGTGTGGCTGCGTGGCACATTTGTCGCTTGTGGAGATTTATCTCTTTCCGTGTTTCTTGTGTCCCATGTCCGTGTCTCTCATCTCGCATCGTACATGTGACCTAATGTGACCCCCTCCCTGAATGAATGGATGAATGGACGAATGAAGACACACTTGCATGAAAGACAGTCGTCACTTAATCCTTCGCTCGTGCCAAATGACGAAAGGGCCCACGAGAAAATGTATTGTGGGTTTTAGAACAGAGACTTATTTGCGCAGGACATCATACACATCCTGTCGCATCCACGCATCCAGCACCGATCTGGAAATTCATTCATTCATTCATTCATTCACTGAAAATTGAACAACACCGTGAAACCCTTCGCGGCAGGAAATATGGTGCAGACGAATGACGCCTCGCTGTGGCTTCAGTCTTTCCTTGTACTGTAAGAGAGAGGGTGCTCCAACACCGCCATTTCCTCTGCTTCGCCTTCATGCTAGCTTTGGCCAGCGTACACCGTTACGGCCCGCATCAGTACGTATGATGGGTGGGTATCTGGTGTGTCTGCTCGTCCTGGCAAGCGCCGTCGGCTCCGAGCGACCCCCGATCACCGCAGCTGAGTCAGACGAAGAGCGTCTTGGTGAATTCCTCACAGACAGACGCGACCATCAGCAGGGCGGCGATGTTGACGCAAGGGACAGCACAGGTACTGAGAGAGAGGAATCAGCGGCATCCGATTGCACTCATTTCTCCCTGTTTATTGTTGTTCTCGCTGATTGGTGCAGGTGTGCTCAGCCGCAGCCAGGCGCTGTGCGAATGCGAGACAGCCAGGCTACGCGAGTCGGCGGTCCTCCAGCGCATGGCTGCCTTGCAGGGCCTTCTTCAGAAGTCCCCCGTGTGTGGTGAAGGTGGATACAGCTTCGCCAGCCTGTGTCTGGCTCTCTGCCAGGGGTTCGACGTGGGCGAAAAGGGCATCACAGGCGGGGGATGCCCACCGTACAGTGCCAACAAGTGAGTGAGCCTGCCCGCCCTCCCCAATCATCTGCCTGTCTGTGGTCTTGCACGTGTGTATCTTCAGAAATCTCGTGTTGCCACCTGCGATTGAGCTGCGGCGCATATTGAGCAGCAAGAGGCCCCATGAGGCCGCTTACCTGGGCCGCATCAAGCCACGCGAGCCACCTAATCCCCTCAGCCCGTTCGATCGCAAAGCAGCCGATCACTTGGTCCCTCCCCCGACAAATGCATCGGTATGGGAGGGACTCTCGGGGCTGTCCAATCGCTCCTATGCTGTGAGGGGAGGGGATGTCTATCTGGTGGACAACGTCATGCCCGAGGAGCTGCGCAACCTCACTACCAGCTTCTGTCGTGGTGGTGTCTGTCCTGCGGGCAGCCGGGGCGGCTCGCAGGCAGTTGACCAAGAGAACGAGATAGCAACGAACGAGATGGGGCCCTGCCCCGAAAGTAACAACAGGAGCTGCCACGAGCCTGATCATAGAATACTCGTCCATGACTCGAGACAAGCGCCCTTTAATGTTGTTGGGCTCTTGGTTTCGGATCGGATCTGTACTGGGAGCCTCGTAATGGAGAAATATGTCTTGACAAACGCACATTGTCTGTATACGAAGGAGGGTAAGTGACACATCCATACCATACAATTCTGCCTCATCTTTCCGTGAATATTTCCTGTCTTTGTGCATCCAGGCGGATTCGCGAGTCTGACTTCATTCTGCCCGGGCTTTCATGGCGGTGAGGTATTCGACTGCGTCCGAATGGTGGAATCGAGACTGGCAACTGAGTTCATTGAAATTGCTGACCTGTAAGTGAAGACTGTCGCCTGCCGTGTGCACGACTGATCACGCGCACGCTCTTTTTCATGTCTTCGTACAGTGAAACCTTTGATACTCACTTTGACTTCGCGCTCATTGAGCTCGAGAGGAACCCGGTGGGCTCTAATTTCTTTGGGATTCGCACGCTGTGCGGTGCGGTCAAAGGCGGTCTGCCGTATATCGGGTATACAGACCATCGAATCACACACTGTGCCTTCAATGCTTCTCTCTGATGGCATGAATCCAGGTACCCGGGCGACCTTACCGTACCATTCAAAGAGACCCAGTGGCGCATGCCCCCGTCCAACCAGGGCCCAGGTGGCCGCAACGGCGACATTCACTTTCCCGCATGCAGACTCGACGGCACGCCGGCCAGAGTGGTGGATTACTTGACACATTGGGGCGACACAGGTGAGGAAAATACAGCAGACGCATACGTCACTACATGAACGGCATGCCGTGGTGTTGCCTATCTGCATCATGCTTGTTTTTGTCAGCCCCTGGCATGTCCGGCAGGTACGCATGTTGCAGAAAGCGGTATGTCTGTCTGTGCTTGCATGTGATGCTGCGTGTCTCTGTTTCTTCAGCGGCATGTACGACACCGATAATGACGGCGGGACTTACATCGTGGCGGTGCATACCGCGACGAGCTCAGACCCAGCCATCAGGGAGAATTACGCAGTCGTCTTGACGACTGCCGTGCTGGACGTTCTTGCCGCGTGGCATGAGCAAATGGAATCGTCTTGACATGCGACTGGACAGATAGACAGACAATACGGTGATCGGAGAAAGGGCCATCGTATGCCTATCATTCATGCAAGAGGTCCGTTTGTGCGTGTCATCAAGACTCATGGTGCCGTTTCGCTTGGTGGCTTCAGCTGTGTGGCTTTGCCTATTGATGTGGCTGACGTTCTGATGATTGCGAGTGCGTGACGGTATCTCTTCGCTGCGTCTGGCGACCTTCATATGTGTGACTGTCTCGTGTGCCTGTCTGTGTGCCTTTTCGTTTGCTTCTGCATGGAAAAGGGTGGGAGAGAGGAGACGACGGAAATGTGAAGAGAGGAGCAGGGTAGAGAGAGTCATCGCATCAAGAGCTTGGTGAAGTGCAATTAATGACAGCCTTCCTTTCTGCTGAAGACAATGGAAGGGATCGACTGACTGACTGACTGACTGACAATTTGTCCGCCCGAAAACCCAGCACAGGTGGGGCGGACAGAGAGACAGAGAGACGAGACATCTACCGTAGTACAAGTTAGCTCTTTGTATGTATGTATGTATAGCACTAGCATGAGAGGGCCGGTGACCACCCGTCCTTTGCACGCATCGCTTTGTCTCTTTCGTTGTCGTTTCTTTTCCTTTTCGTTTCTTCCCCACGATCGTGTGTGTGCAAGTATACACGTATTGTTGTGTCTTTGCGAAAGGGCTCATGTACCTGTACGAATGGACTGCTCGAAGGAGACAGGTTAGACAGTGCGCACGTGTAGGCAGGCATATTTGTCGCTTGTGACGTCCATGAAGATTCCTTTGTGTTGGTTGTGTCTCTTGTGTGTGCGATAAGCCTTCATTGTAAAAATCGCATGTGTTTTCGAGCTTTTGCTCCCGGCTTATATCATGGGAGGAATATACACACATCACAATGAAAATCATCACCAAACATGGGCTTCAGGCCCGGTGTCTGTCGACAAAACTCGCCAAACGCGAGCCGTCGTAGACAGGAGACCCCTCTTCCCTTCTTTCCGTCTCTGCCTTGCCCAGAAAAAAGATATCTGTTCACTTACATGCGCATCCGCCACCAAGACACAGGCAGTCGATCAATGGCTTGCACACTAGACAGACAATATTTCCACTGATGTACATAGTACGCAGTGAATTAATAATCTCGGGATCGGTGTCGGCTCGTGACGCGGCAGAAAGCATGCCACCATCAGCACGCTTGAAAAAGCGCGATACAACTGTACTTGCCCACATCTCCCTGCTTGAATGGCTGACTGCAGGTCCATTCACTCACTCACCTGTGCAGTGCATAGACAAAGTCACTCGCGGGAGATGTAAATTTTCTGTGTCCGTACGAAGCCGTTGCGGGCAGCAAATCTCACGGCAGTCTTTTGGCGGTCAAGAACGAGGCTTGAAACAAGGCAGGGAAAGACAGAAAGGTGCCGTCTTTTGGCGGTCAGTTAACCCGTTAAGGAGGGAAGCAGCGTACGAAGACCTGAGCCTTGGCAGAGAAGGCCTTTGTTGCACAGGCAAATGGCGGGTGCGTGTCTGCTGTTGTCTCTGCTCGCCCTGACAAGCGTTGTTGTTCGTTTCCAGCAACCCTTTATCAACCCAGCTGAGTCAGGCGAGGAGCGTCTTGCTGAATTTCTCACAGACAGACACGACCATCAGCACGGCAGCGATGTTGACGCGAGGGACAGCACAGGTACTGAGAGAAATCAGCGGCATCCGATTGCACTCATTTCTCCCTGTTTATTGTTGTTCTCGCTGATTGGTGCAGGTGTGCTCAGCCGCAGCCAGGTGTGCTCAGCCGCAGCCAGGCGTTGTGCGAATGCGAGATAGCCAGGCTACGCGAGTCGGCGGTCCTCCAGCGCATGGCTGCCTTGCAGGGCCTTCTTCAGAAGTCCCCCGTGTGTGGTGAAGGTGGATACAGCTTCGCCAGCCTGTGTCTGGCTCTCTGCCAGGGATTCGACGTGGGCGAAAAGGGCATCACAGGCGGGGGATGCCCACCGTACAGTGCCAACAAGTGAGTGAGCCTGCCCGCCCTCCCCAATCATCTGCCTGTCTGTGGTCTTGCACGTGTGTATCTTCAGAAATCTCGTGTTGCCACCTGCGATTGAGCTGCGGCGCATATTGAGCAGCAAGAGGCCCCAGGATGTCGCCTACCTGGGCCGCATCAAGCCACGCGAGCCGCCTAATCCCCTCAGCCCGTTCGATCGCAAAGCAGCCGATCACTTGGTCCCTCCCCCGACAAATGCATCGGTATGGGAGGGACTCTCGGGGCTGTCCAATCGCTCCTACGCTGTGAGGGGAGGAGATGTCTATCTGGTGGACAACGTCATGCCAGAGGAGCTGCGCAACCTCACTACCAGCTTCTGTCGTGATGGTGTCTGTCCTGCGGGCAGCCGGGGCGGCTCGCAGGCAGTTGACCAAGAGAACGAGATAGCAACGAACGAGATGGGGCCCTGCCCCGAAAGTAACAACAGGAGCTGCCACGAGCCTGATCATAGAATACTCGTCCATGACTCGAGACAAGCGCCCTTCAACATGGTCGGGCGCTTGATGACTGAGAATGGGGGCTGTACTGGGAGCCTCGTGTTCGACAAATACGTCTTGACGAACGCACATTGTCTTTACACCAAGGAGTGTAAGAAGCATATTCATACAATTCTACCTCATCTGTCTGTGAATATTTGTTTGTGCACGCAGACGGCCTTGCGAGTGAAATTGTGTTTTGCCCGGGCTTTCATGGCGGTGAGGTATTCGACTGCGTTCGGGGAGTGGAACACAGGATCTTAGCAGAGTACATGTTCCAAGAAACCTTGTAAGTGGGGGCTGTCTGCAGTGTGCACGAGTGATCATGGCACGCTCTTTCCATGTCTTCTTACAGTACAACCTTTGATACTACCTTTGACTTTGCGCTAATTGAGCTCGAGAGAAACTCGGTGGGCTCTTGGTTTGGGATTCGCACGCTGTGCGGTGCAGTCAAAGGCGGTCTGCCGTATATCGGGTTGAGTGCATCGACACGTTCACTTCCATCGAATCACACTGTGCGTTCAATGCTTCTCACTGATTGCATCAATGCAGGTATCCGAGCGACCTGAACTCAAACGAATACAGGTTGCCGGACCAGTGGCGCATGCCCCCGTCCCACCAAGGCCCGGGTGGGCGCAACAGCAGCATTCACTTCCCCGCATGCAGACTCGACGGTTCGCAGACTGGAGTTGGTATGTTTAACTTTTTGACACATTGGGGCGACACAGGTGAGGCAAATACAGCAGACGCATACGTCACTACATGAACGGCATGCCGTGGTGTTGCCTATCTGCATCATGCTTGTTTTTGTCAGCCCCTGGCATGTCCGGCAGGAACGCATGTTGCAGAAAGCGGTATGTCTGTCTGTGCTTGCATGTGATGCTGTGTGTCTCTGTTTCTTCAGCGGCATGTACGACACCAATAGTGAAGGCGTCCCTTACATCGTGGCGGTGCACTAGTCCCAGGAATTACGCGACCGTCTTGACGACTGCCGTTGTGGATGTGATGACGGTGTGGCATGGGCAAATGGAATGGGGTTGATATGCGACTGCACTAACGATAGAATGACGGAATGCAGTATGTGAGTGAAAGTCAGATGATGGCATGTGTCTCTGTGTGTTTTCTTTCACCGTCGAGTTCACCGTGTGGCCGATGGATCATTCATAGTAGAAGAAAGGAGGGGGGGCCAGCTGTGACTGAGCGTGCAATCAGGTCATGCTGTGTCTCGTGTAGTCGGAATGGAGGAGGGCCAGTCTTTTTCTTTCTTCCTTCCTTCCTTTCTTTCTTTCGCCATGGTAGACAGACGATGAAGTGTTCGTTGCATTCCATGACCCTCACACAATAGAGCGGCGAGAATGCTTTCGTGCGCGTTGTTGGTGTCATGGTGCGTGTGTGTGGGGGGGGGGGGGGG